GAACAGTGGATACCACTGGGTGGCAACAGATTTGAAGGCGGCCGCAGCTCCAAGTACAGCAAATTCACCTCCAGTGGGGAAACACAGCGTAGGGAGCGCAAGCGTCTGAAGAAGATRTACAAGAAGGAGGAGAAAGCGGCCTTTAAAGAGCTGCACCGTAAGCTGCGTGGAGGCCAACATTAATGACCCCAGCCAGCCCACCTGCTTCTCTCACCTCACCTACGATAATTTATGYTTTTCTGTCAACCCGGGCAAAATGAAATGGGAAAGTAGGCCAAGTGCTTATGGTGCTCAGCATTCCCAGATATCCTGTCAAATGTCGTCATGCAGCAGGACCGGGGCTCACTCCTTTATTGTGCCTATGCCATAGCCGTTTTCGATCTTCTCTGCGGGGTGCTCTTCGCTGCATTCAGTGTGACCAAATGCTCTTCACACGTAAGCTCCGATATAGAATACGCATCAGAGTATAATATATTTATATATTCCTTATTGCAGTTGAGCTGGCTAGCCATATTCGCGGTGTGCTTTGCTTTGTTTTGGGTAACGCTGATTGCTCTGCTCATCTCTGGCATTTATTGGGTAACTTTGAGTTAGTTTCCAATATGAAATAATTTGACTTTTGCGTTGTAGCGTAATTCAACGTTGGTGGGGTGCTGGCTTGTGTTCTCATGCGTGGGCATTGCTATTGAGATTTGCCTGCTGATTTATGCTTTCATCAGCAAGAGCACTTTCCAAGTGGGAATAGCTGAAAATAGTCTGATTCTGCTCCTTGGATTATGTGAGCTGCAGCTCTCCACAAATACATACAGCTTTCTTCATCTTGACGTCTTTTACAGTTGTTGAAACAATTTTTGCCCTGATCATCTATATGTTTTATCGAGAACTCCCGGAATGCAGCCCTGTTGTCCAGGATAGAAAGCCGCCTTGTTACAGAGACCCACCGCTGGAGCAGGTTCTGTCGCCGCCACAGGAAGCGCCGCGACCAAAGCCGGACCCAGAGCCAGAGGCAGACGCTTGCACTACATCGCCCAATCGAAGCAAACGTTCCTACAGGTGCAACATCTTGCAAACTAGATCCGTTACAAGTCCCTACACCTGTGGCTCGAAGCGCAGCCCATATTGGTCTCCTGTGAGGAGCGCAAAATGAAGAGCCTGAAGGTTGAAGCAGCGA